GTTTGTTATTGTATTGTCAGATTTTAATCAATAAAGTATTAAAAAAATGCAAAAAAAAGTTATTCAGTTTTGTAGATGTTAAGGAAAGACACAAATGTTTCCTGTTCTTAAGATACTTTGATACAAATATGTGTTTACAATTCTGATTGGAGCGGAAAGGTGAGAGCACAAGGCTTCATCTAATGGAACTTGTGTACCATCTACATATCCATGGTTAAGCTGTGCTAAACCCAGTGGAGGTAGTTAGGTATAGATAGTTTCAATGAACTAGTATATACACAATTACACCACTGTCCTTTTCCATTACTTCTAGACATATAATAGCTGTTCTATAAAGTACTGAAACATTTCTGGGTTACACCATCAATCTTTTACATTCATAAATAAGATATGTTCTATTAAAGCTACACAATATGTTTTTCCCTGTTAAAAATATGCCACTATGGCTTATTCCTGTTTCTTAATATATAATAAAAGATTAAAAATGACAATAAAGTGTTCATTACATTGTATTTGCAAGTGTTGTTTGGGAAAATATTTCTCTACTGCTGAGGCTACAGTGGTGTGCAAAAATTAAAGTTTTCCAGGATACTAGATAAATGGGGTAGGGTAGGGTGTGGTGGGCTGAGCTAGGGGAGATAGAAGAAATTGAGTGTTAATTACCATAAAGTTTTATACAGTGGTAAAACATAAGCATAAATTAACATATACTGTACATCTATTTCATTTAAAGTCAAACTATTCATCATGGCTGGATTGAAATCCATGCTCCAACTAACTATGATCTAAACAAAGCTGAACATTGTTAAGTCTCAGTGGTTTGTGGGCTAGCTAAACACATGGCCTAATAACTTGTACTGAAATGAATTGACTGAAAAATGTTTAGTTTTGACTAGTTTGCACCCACAGCTCAATTTTTAAAATTTATTTTAGGGGCAAACCAAGCAGACTTGGCTTAATATCATTGTCCATTATTCAGCATATTAGTGCCAGCAGGGTGGGCATTTCTGACTATTTCCTCTCATAGGTTCCAATTTATTTCTATATTAACAAAACCATCTGGTTTTAAAGGGATATTTCCATATTTGAGTGGAGCTTTTTAACCATTTAAAATGTCTCTAACCAAATTAATAAATATATGTTCATCATTAAACTCAATTTTGAGCTTGATTTTAAATCAACCTTTTGGTATCAAACTAATCAGGATAAAGATGAATAGTAATCACACACTCATAAGTCAGTGTGTTCTTTTGCATGGATATTTCTGCATCACAGCAGGGGAGTGGGTCATTGCTGCTTGAAACGTCTGTCGAGAGAAAGAAAATTCATTTTTTAGACCAGCATTTCAGTTGTCCTTTATGACTGGAGCATACATCATTAGAAAGCCTTGAACATTGAAAAAGCCCCAAAGATTCTGATATTCATACTAGTTTACCAACGTACAGTATTGCAGGGTTTCATATATTTCAGAGTGCTGAAAACATGACATTGAATAACAAATGTATGGTAATTCAAAATGATTATAACCAGAGGTTGAGAATTCTGTGCTTTAAAAGCAAGCAAGTTCTGAAAGAGGAATATTAATATTTTTGCAGCTAGAATGGATTAAGCAAATTAGGATACATGGCCTACTATGTAAATATCAGGATATTTTATTCAGGCTTTGCAGAGTGCCAAGGTGACACATGTTGGTAGCCTATTTGTCTGAAAGGAACAAAGGTTGCTGAGGATAAAGATATGCTGGGGAAGGTAGAGACCTGGTAAGAACAAGGGACAAAATCTTACTCACTTTTAGAAAGAAGGAATGCTCCACTGGTGGCATCATGCCACATTATTTATATGCCTCTTGGCAGAGGCCAACTCTGTTGAATTTTAATGCCTAACTCTGTTCAGTCCTTGGAGCCATGGGACTATGGGAGGGCTGGCATAGGAAGTGCCCATGTTTCATCCAAACATCCCTCCCATAGTGCCATTGCTTTCAGGGCCAAAAAGTTCCAGCCAGGAAGTTCTCAACAGAGCTAGGCCCCTGCCAGGAGGCACATACAAAATTTCTTCCTTCTTATCTAGCAGCAGCATACAAGTGCAGTATGTGGTTCTGCAGTGGTCTAAATTTCAAGAAGAATAACAAGGAGCGTTAGTACTAACCAGGTCAGATGCTGCTTAGCTTCCAAGATTAGACAGGATATAGTGCTTTAAAGGTATTTAGGTCCACCATTTCCTTACTATACTTTAAACAAAACTGGACCAAGGAGGGCCTAAAACCACTTCTGTCCGTCCTTGTTTTTGCCATGTGAAAAATGATGCCCCTGGGAGCATGTTTGTGTGGCAGCTGTCCATCTGAGCAAGACATATGGAAAATGACAGATAATGCTCATATGGAAAATCTCTATAGGGACAGGAACCTCTCCTCTTTAGACATATTGCTTCCTCCATAAAGAAAGTGATGACAGAAGTGAAGTGGGGTTAGATCTTACTACCTTGTTGAAGATACTGTAGTGAGTAAGGTGTGAATGTTGTTGTGTGCCTTCAAGTCATTTTCAACTTATGGTGGCCCTAAGGCAAACCAATCATGGGGTTTTCTGGGGCTGAGAGTATGTGACTTACTCAGGGTCACCCAATAGGTTTCCATGGCTGAGAGGGGAATCAAACCATGACATCTAGAGTTGTAGTTCAATCTTCAAACCACTACAACAGGCCTGCATAGAGTTATATAAAAACAAGAGTACAACTGTGTTATTCTTCTGCTGATAGAATGGATTCTGTCAGTGAAATGGTGTAGTGGGATCTTATTCTTCCCTTCAGCTCCCCAAACATGTTCAAAATCTGCTTGGTGCAGGTCAAGATACCTTACATAGTACTTTTTTTCAGATGGCATTGAGGACCATGGGATGGGCCAAGATGTATGTCAAAGTCCTATCATACTAATGGAAGTCCAGGAGCATAAGAATGGATTTCAGCCTATGGTATTTCAAGTAATATTAAACAAGATGTTTTCCTTTTATTTGTTTGCCCTCATGATACATCACAAATCACCAGTTAAAAGCATTTCTTTGAGATATTCAATATATTTTTCTCTCCTAAATATATCTTAAGAAGGTTCAGCCATATTTACAGTTGAATGGACGTTCCTGGGTTTAAAGAAAAGAAAAGTCTGATATTATAGATGTTCAGTGTTAGATACAGTTTGTCTCTGTTGTGGCCCTTTCTGAACCATGATTTGCTTGTTTGACCCCTACATCTCCTTCATGCAGATTCATTTGGAAATGCAGATTCAAAAGACCTTTCAGCTACAGTGACCACTTTCTGGCCTTGAGGAAGTCAAACCCAGTCTAATAGAGCTGTTATGAAGCTATGGCAATTCTCTTTCTTTAATGGGAAAGGCTCAGTGGTCAAACATGTGCTTTGCACACAGAAGGTCCTAGGTTCAAATCCTGATGTCCATAGTGAGTTTGGGAAAGCCTCCTGTTTGAAAAATTGCAGAGCTGCTGCTAGTGAGTGTGTGATCAGAGTTGGCTTTGGAGCAGAAGTCATTGCCTCTCTCAGCAGAATGAATAGGGGAGACCCCAAATGCAGCAGTGCTGATTCACAACATTGTGAAGTGAAGCAACACACACATTACTACTAAATAGCCCCTTCCCCACAAAAATGGGTCCATAGTCTGAAAACACTGAACTGCACCATTATAGACAATTCTGGTCTCAATGGATTAATGGACTTGATGTAAGGAAGCTTCCAAGGAAAGAAAGGCTAATATATGAAATACATGTAAAAAAAATATATGAAATCATAAACAGTCCTAGCTGGATCATGTTTATTTTGCATCTACTGGACATCTGTATTTCAAAAGAATACTAGCACACTGGAGTAAGTACTGCATTCACAGGCAACAGGAAATCTTTCCAATTGGGTTCCTGACAGAAGCTATTTAAGATATATAATGAACATAAAATAAGTGGGATGGCAATTTTATTAATTTGAACCCAGTGCAGACTTTTAAAATGCATGGTTATTGCCTTTCTTGAAAACCTCTGCCTTTGAAATCAATGATTTTCTCTGTGTGTAGGGGGGTGGGAAGGAAGGGGAAAAAAGGAAGGAGGAGGAGGAGAAAGATGATTTGAACTGAGATGTCTTATGCATGTACATATATGAGTGGGATATTTTTGTTGGTGTTCAAACACTATCATTTCATGGCAATTTCTCAGGCTGTTTGGACTATACACAGAAGATTTGTGGTACATAAACAGGTGAATCTCAACAAGGCACTCTTTCTTTTTAAAAACTGTAGTAATGGCTGACTTCCATGAACACAAAACAAGCCCCCTTCGCTCTCATTTGCTAGAGGCTGTCTTGTAGCATTCTGCACATACAAAACATTCATTTCTACCTTTAAGATTCAGCTACTTCTACTGCAAACCTATATCAAGGAGCAAAGTTTAGTGCATTGTTGATTTGGTATCCAGCAATATTAATATCACATTAATAAAAAAATTATAACAATACAAATAAGATAATCTATTATTCACACTTATTAAGGGATCTTTTTGAGAAGGTTAAATATCTGACAAAACTACAGATTTCAGAATTCTATAGAATTTAGCCATGGCAGTTAAAGCGGTGTCAAACTGCATTACCTCTGCAGTGTAGATGCAGCTTTAGATATACAGTAGAACTTGTACATGTGGGTCTTACCAACAGCTCATGGAATACAGCAAATAATTGGCTCTACCTTTAACCCACAATTTTGAATCTGGCTTTGCTTCAGTCAATATTTTAATATTTGGCTCCAGTTAGTGGATTTTAGATTTTATTTAAATAACTAGACTCCATAAGCTTGGAGACGGAATACAGATGGGCCCTGCTGAATGGAGTGGATGTTGATGTAGTGGGAAGTGGGGTATCCTTCAAAATGGAGTGGAGGCCATGATGAGCAGAGCAAGAGAATAGCTGATCCTCAAGGACAGACTTCTCTGATAGTTCCATACAGTAACCTTCCAATTTATTGTTGTTAACTGCCTTCACGTCAGTCTCAAATTCTGTGGAAATGTTGTTTACATTTTATTTTGGTGTGATGACTGGTTTTGTGCTCTTCTTGAGTTTTACTTTTATTTTTGAAATGAGTAGTTCATGATCTGTGCCAAAACAGTACCTGGTCCAGTCTTGGCCACCAATATGGAGCTTCGCTATCTTTTACTTCCAATATCTAATAAATTTGGTTTTTGTGTTGACCGTTTGGTGATGTCCATGTATATAACCTTTTCTCTGGTTGTATGAAAAATGTGTTTGCAATGAATAGGTTGTTGGCTTCACAAAAATCTATCAGATGCTCACTTGCCTCGTTCCTTTTGCCTAGTCCGAATCTGCCTACTGTTTTTGATTCTTTGTTACTTCCAACCTTTGCATTCCAATCTCCAGTGATCAGCTTGACATCCTTTGTTAGTGTGTTGTCAATTTCTTCCTGTACTCCTTTGTAAAATCTATCAATTTCTTCATGTCCTGCCTCAGTGGTTGGCTTGAATTTTGATGATATTCATAGGTTTCCTATGGAACCTTACAGAGATGATTCGGTCTGATTTTGCACTGTATCCTCTGACAGCTTTTGCAACATCTTTTCTTAGTATGAAAGCCACCCCGTTTCTTCTTGTCTTTTCATTCCTTGAGTTGAACATTGTGTGGTTGTCTGATTCAAAGTGGCCCATTCCATTTTAACTCACTTCTAATACCTCCATTAATTTTAACCTTCCAATACCTCCATTATTATAATTTGGAAGGGCAAAGAGTGGAAATCCTTCTGAGTTTCCAGTGCAAACCTCAGTACAATGTGCAGAGGACTGCAGCCTGCATGATGTAGAGTGAAATAGTAGTATCTTTCCAGTTGGCTGTTCATGAAATATGCCATTTTCCTGCTCTCCCCAACTGCAATATAATTTAGACAAATCTCAGCATCCTGTTTGTTGAGAAAAAAATCTTGTGCATAGATTCTGGCAAGTGTATAACTCAGGTTCATCAATCTGTACTTTACAGTTTGCTGCACTAAGGGGGAATACAGACCGGCTAAAAGGGCCGGCCTGGGGGTGGAGTCAGGGCACAGTGATTGCATGCCAGCCACCCGCCTCTGCCCTGATGCCATCATCATGACATGCACCCACTGCATGGCAGGCAGCATCAGGGCGCTCCCTGATGTGTGCATAAATAAGCCACCACCATGGTGGCAAGGACAGCTTTTTGCCTCTCTATAAAGGAGAGGCATTTGCCAGCTCTTTTTTGAGTGGCAAAGTGCTGGAATGGGGCCATGGCATGTGGTTGCTGCGGCCCCGATCTGGCAAGGAAAGGGGTGGCGGGATGTCTGTACAGCCCCTAAGTTCACTTTAAAAAAGATAGGAACAGCCAGAGTCACCCATTTCCATCTGTTAAGCTTGAGTTAGTTTTATTTTGACTTAGCCCTCCCTCCATTCCATCCGATGTCATCTGGGGGAGAGGCAACAGG